TTTTTTTTTTTTTTTTTTTTTAAAAAAAAAAAAAAAAAATACTTCTCTTTTCTTGCAGCCACCATTGTCCATTAAGTCTATCGTTGTCCAAGTTCAGTGCATAAATAAAAATGTTGGTAGTATCATTAACCATGAAGTGCGCATAGTAGTAAGAGACAAAAATGACAATCCACCCCGTTTCCAGAACCAAAGCTACTACACTGCTGTAAATGAGGTAAGCTTTTTGCCATTCTAAATATAATGTAAATTAATTTTTCACAAAAATTGCATTAAGCTAAGGCATTAAGGATGACATTATGGTTCTGCAAAGCTAAAATTATAATTTGTGTGTTAATGAATATATGTTGAATATAATGTTGCCTTGTATCTTATGAAAAATCTGTAACCGCAAATGTATAATAATAAATTCCTCAATGTGAAGATATATTTTAAGTAATTATTACATGTATATAACCAAAATTGGGTTTGCAGATGACTTCCAAAATGACAACATAATGTTTTAGACTGCAAATGCATTCAAATAATTAAGAAGTAGTAGATAAATGAATGACTAACTGATACCAAATATGTAACAACTTGCCTACTGTCATGGCAACTGTATATTTGATGTCATCTTCCAAATAACAGTGGCTGAACCACTGTTTTTGTACATTAAACCTTCCAACCTATTTGGATATTATCTGTCACCGCTCAGCAACTTTAGAGAGATAGAACAACACTTGGGACACTTAGAATCCTGGCACGTGCACATGTCCTACTCATGCAAGCATACAGCACACCTGCCAAAGAACACAAGTCCCTCTCTTTCTCTGAAACCATGCTTAACATAATAATATAATAATAACAGTAGCATAACATAAGGTTTAACATAACAATACTACCATAACAATAAGTGACGTATAAGTTGTTACACCTACTTTAAAGAGACACTGCTTAAATAAAAAAAGTCAGTATTTAGAATATATACACCTAACAAAAACCTGCATGCATTTAATTATTCATTGGGGTATATCTATATATAAAAAAAATCTTGCAAGTCCTCCACCACTTTCCCAGCCCAGACACTTATTTTTCTGAATTTATCTTCTTTATTTAAATTTTCTTTTGTACACGTATAATAACAGGAAACCTTAAACAAAAAAGAAAAAAAAACAACACAGTAATTAAGACAATGATTAAACTAGTGTTGTATACTAAAATCATATGGGTGATTTAAATGTCTTGTATATCATTACTTAGAATCCCTCTGTGCTGCAATGAATACTCTAGTTCTCAACTATCAGACTTTTAAAAGACAAAATGCATAACGTGTGGGAGCAGAGTGACTCTTTCCACTGTATATATAGAAGAAATTCTTAGTTTTTAAAGCAATGCAGCATAAGGTAAAAGATCAATCTTCTTTATTATGCTTTCTCAAGTATTCTAATTTCCAAAATGATTGAAATAATATCTATAAATATCACACTCCATTTTACCCTGATAAAATATCTGATCCTTAACCTCATTCCAGTTTGGGGCTTTAGGTTTCTTCCAATTACTAGCTATTAACAATTTAGATTGTCTTAAGACATGTTTTAGCCAGCATTACATTGGGCATATCTAGCCATCATAAATGTAATACAACAACTTCTGGGGAAAAAGCCTTTGGGATCAAACATAATCTCCTTAGCCTGTCTGTATATCATATTCTAGTCTTAATTATAGGGCAATTCCAACAGACATATATATAGTCTGCTCAAAATTGGCTACATCTCCAGCAGGAAGGGTCAGAGGAGGGATATATTGACTAGCCTATTAGAGATCATATATCATCTTTTTACCACCTTGAGGAAGTTTTCTGGAATATTTAATGCAGTGTGCCCAGGAGTTAACACTTGTAATTTACTTTTGCATGTCTATCTCAGTAATTGGTAAATTTAGATCTCTTTCCCACATATAGAAGTTATTCCTGCTACTTGTTGGTGTAATGGAGCTAATAAACTGTATATACTTTTAAATTGTTCCTGTGAGTGCTGTCTGTGAAAGAAGATTTGTCAATAAATCAACAGACTCTGACTTTTCAATAAATAGTTGCTTACTAAGAAAATATTTACTTGAAGGTAAGTAAAGATGGCCTTACTAGGGAGGGAGAAGTCATTTTGCAGTTGTCAAGAATGTTTTATATATCTCTTGCCACAAAGATCCTCTATTATTTTTTATATCCATGTTTTCCAAATGACTTATATTCAGGTCTTAAACATAGACAGTTCATTGCCTTATCATATGTTTTGAGCTTGTGTTTGACTGTGCTCCAGTAATGCCATAATGATCTAAAAGTAGAGATTTGTAAATAAAATATGCAATCTGAATCCCCATATTATTTATCAGCATTCTGCACAATTAAAAAGAGAGGTTATATTGTAGGCATCTCCAAGGGATCTGACTCTATTTCATTTCTACATTGTTATTCCTATTTTAGAATATGGGCCATCATGCATGCATACTGGTTTTCAAAGATATTAGGGACACCAAGCCCCTCCATTTGTAATTTCAGATTGATGTTGCAAGCTAATTCTAGTTTTTTCCGCTGTCCAAATGAAGTGGTTTAAAGTGGTTTGTATCATTTTAACCCCTTAAGGACTGGACTGTTTTTGCGATGTTGTACATTTGCGACCAGGAATATTTTTACACTTTTGTGGTGTTTGTGTTTGGCTGTAATTTTCTGCTTTCTCATTTACTGTTCCCATACAAATTATATATTGTTTTTTTCAGGACAAAAGGGGCTTTCTTTACATACCATTATTTATATAATCTCATGTATTTTAATTTAAAAAAAATAAAAAAATCTGATGAAAAATTGAAAAAAATACATGTTTTTTGACTTTTACTTGAAAAATCTTTTACTCATCTACAAAAGCGAATGAAAAA